TATTTGTTTATTATGTATTTAAAACCATCGTATAAACTGAGTGATTATACAAAGAAATTCAGAAACAATGAATTAATTTGTTTTAACAAATGCAGTTATAGATTGGYACCTATATGATATATTATGTATATGTTTGATATATAATATAATATTATAATATACCTATTATACATTATTTTTTAAATCAATTGCTAAAAATTAAGTTATAACAATTGATTCTTTAAATATATATAGTTCAGTTATTAAGTACCTATAAGTTGATTAAAAAATGAACTAACTGAAAGTTAAGTTAAAATGTTAACAAAATATACTTTTTAAATACTAAGTTACATAATATTTACCGTTATTCAAAATTTTAAAATACAAAAGTATAATATAATTTTACAAATATTAAAGGTACTGCAACAGGATGTCGAGTGTCGATCGACACGATGGCTGTCGTAATGGTGGACTGCAGACTGTGAGATAGTTACACCAAAAACTTGATTTACAGTACCTACAAGATATATGTTTTGTGCACCATATACTATACGTCTATACTATAAAACAGTATTCGTCATAAGATGAACAATTAGTTCAATTAACAATGGAAAGTTTATTTAAAATATATGAATCATTTCATAAACATACAATTGAACTAAGTTCATCAACCACTGAACCGTTCATTTTATCAAACTTGTTTCGCTTAAGTTTAATAGTAAATTAACTATGAGAGTTCATCCATTATTCAGATCACGATTCAAAACATATGATACGAATATCGGAATATATTAATATTAGTCAGCAAGTTCAAATAGTTCAATATAAGTACAATGATTACATAAATGTCACTTATCTTTTTGAATAGGTCTAATTCATTGTAGCTAGTATAACAATTATTTTTCATTACTTGTTACCTATACGATTGAGTGCAACGGTGAATGAAGCAGGGGCAGCTCCAGAGCCTTGGTTGGGAAGGGGGCAAATTATGGTTTCACAAAACTTTATAACAAAAATATTACCTATAGAATAAGATTATAACAATTCTTATCAGGATAATATTCTTAGTATTCTCGTACAGAAAATAAATCTATGATACGCAATTCATATATTGAACACGGGTAGTAAAATAATGATATCATAGTATATTTATTTTAATATAGTTTATTTATAGCCTTATAGGTTCTCATAATAAAAAATAGATAGAAGGTATATCGTATATATTTTATATTTTTATGTATACCGTCATACATTTATGGCTCTATCTACATATTTGTGCGTGTCGTTGTAATAGTCGATGTTATTATATGCTTTTTTGTTAGTAATTTTTTTTTTTTTGAACAATATATATATTTTTATATAAATACGAGCTTGGTAGGGGGTCGCGGACTCTAGCACTCCTCTTTTGGAGCCACCCCTGGAAGGAAGTATTAATAGGAGTATGTTACTTTTTGTATTATTGAATTATTATTAGTTTGATTAAGACGAATTAGTGTTAAAAATGTTATGAAAGTTACACCATTGTTTTCCCATCTGTTCTGAAACTGTGTGCCTTAAAAAACATGTCGGTAATTTTTTGGAAGCATGATTGAGGTGAAAAGACAATTAAAAAAAAAAGTTTTTAGGGCATTAAAATCAAAGCCTTGGTTATTAGTTTATTATTATACTTCAAACTCACTGCATATCTACTGCAGTCTTGCACACACTACTAACAGTACTAACCTATATCCACACACAGACTTCGATTAAAGCACATGTCTCAAAAAACAGGTATGGCCCTCGTCGCTACACCGTAGTAATTATAATATTATACATCGACGTGTTTGTGAATAATCATTATTCATATTATACAATACACGTGCACACACAGAGGCGTACACTCGTTGAGGTTTTGGGTTTCAAATGATATATACATAATATGCGTCGTGGGGTTATTGTTTAACCCAATGTAAAACTGTTTGAACAACAATGGATTTAATAATAATTATAATATGCTGCAGTGTGTTACGATAAATAGCTGGTTTCGCGTAGCCCGCAGGATTCATGAGGTATGTATAAAATATAATGTTTTCCGTGAATTTAATATCACAATAATATTATTAGAGGTATCGCATTTTATATTGTGGCGCTGCTGTAGCTGAGCGGGTGCGTAGCAATACTAACGATTAATGTGTGTTGTGTTTGTACATTTGTACGTATATTATTATGTACATAATTTTATTATTATAACTTGCATCGATGCGCGCCGAACGTGCACTGCAGTCTGCAAGCGTGCTTGATGCACTTGAACTTGAAGCGTACCCATACCTACGTTTATTTGTTATTAGTAAATTACTACCCTCGAAATAAGTATCTAGAGTCTACACACTCAACCGTGGTAGTGTAGTTACATTATATTTTAATCACAATGCAATGATGTAATTTAGCGATTTGTGTCGTCGGTGTTTGGCGAGAGATCAAGGAGGTGCTCGACACACCCTCTTTTAAACAATGCAAAAATAAATCGTCATATTAATTCACTGGAATAAGTGTGTAATAATACTAATTAGATTATTATGATGAATCGAAAAATACAATGTAGGGAACGCTGAAGTACCATCTCACGCATAAGTAACGTATCTATCAGTGTTCGACTTCAAATGTTTAAAAGATATCCAACTCAATGGAAACGAACTTTAATTGCAGAGAAGACAACACTAATAATTTATTACGCTTTTACTGAATTATTTATTAATAATTATATTTTTCTAGACCAGCACAAAACCAAAACAATTACACTCCAAAATAACAGTCTTGCCAATATTTCTTTCTTCGGGAAAACACATTCAGACCATCAGACCATTCAGTGTTGTTCATTTATAAGTTTATAGCGAATTTAATAAGAAAATATTATTATTTATTAAATAATTTTTTACATATTTTGACGGTATTTGATGAGATGACGAATATTATTGAATACAAGATTTTAAATGGTTGGTATATTTGACACAACTTCAGGCTAACCAT